CCCCGGCCGTATTTTGTATTATATTTAGAGACAGGGTCTCACTGAGTTACTAAGCACCTCGCCATTGCTGAGGCTGGTTTTGAACTTACGAAACTCCTGCCTCAGCCTCTCAAGCCGCTGGGATATCAGGCATGCACCACTGTACCCAGCTTGTTTTCATGGATTTTTTAAAAACCACTTGAAACAAAAGGCTTATGCAAAGCATGTAGTTATGTCTTTTCAGTTTATTTTAATCTGAAAAGGTCTCCAACACCACCTCATTTTTCATATGGTCTTGGAAAAAAATCAGGTCGGTTGTTTGGTAAAATATCTCACATTATGGAACATGAATTATGTTTCGAAGTCTCGGTCCACTTACTTTTCTTTGATCCTTTGAAAGTTAAGTTGGAGGCTTGATTTCATTCCATGCAAACATTTTTGGCAGGAGGACGTCACAGCCCACCCTGTGGACTTCAGATCACATCCTATCAGAGGTCAGCCCACCACTGTTCATGTGGGTTGTATTTGAAGGGTTATCTCAGTCGGGGATCTCAAGTGGACTGTGAAATTTTCTTTTCTTTTCCATCTTTTTTTTTAGAGGAAGAAAAGTTTATTTTGGCTCATGGTTTCAGAGATTTAGTCTGTGGTTGGTCAAGTCCGTACCTCTGGGCCCAAAGTGATGAAGAATGTCACAGCAGAAGGGCATAGTGAAGGAAAGCAGCTCAGGACATAGCAATAGAAAGCAGAGAGAGAGAGAGAGAGAGAGAGAGAGAGAGAGAGAGAAGAGACCCCCCTAGGGCACGCCCCCATGACCTACCTCCTCTACTCAGTTCCCACTTGCCGACAGGTACCACCCAGTTAATCCATATCAATGCATTAGTCCATTGATTAGGTTACAACTCACAATCCAACCATTCTGCCTCTGAACAATTCTTGCATTGCCTCACACAGAAGCTTTTGGGGATACCTCATACCTAAGTTGAAATATTCTGTCCTAGCCCCCAAAGGCATATGCCAATCTCACTATTCAAAATATATTTAATCCATTTCCAAGAATCCCTATAGTCTTAAGAGTTCCAGCATTACCTAAAAGTCTAAGTCCAAAATCTCCTTGAGGCTCAAGGCAAACTCTCAGTATGAGCCCCTCTGAAAATCAAAAGCAAGTTACATATATCCAATATGTGACAGAGTAAAAGTTTCCACTCCAATAAGGGARCAATAAGGGCACAGAGAGGAAGGATGGAACCAAAACAAGACCCAACGCCTCCCCAGGCAGACACGTCCATGTCCGGTGTCTGGGGCACCTGGCACCATGATATTCTATCCCAAGGACTTGTGTAGTTCTGCCCCATGGCTTTGCTGGTCGCAGCCTGCATGGCCTCTCTCTTGGCTCGTTTCTGCTCCATTCCTTCAGCTTTTCTCAGCAGACATGCTGACGTGCCACGTTACGGGCATCTCTTGATCTCGGGGGTCTCCACTGTGACTTTGACTTCCTCTTACTTCTTCAAGCATTGCTTGCTCAGGGGCGGCCTGAAGGGCCCTGACTGCCCTGCACTTTGCCTGGACTGATCTCTAACTTCGGCATCTTGCAATCCTGCAGAACCAGCACCACATGGTTGATGCGAAGGTCTGCTACCATCTCAAGAAGTAGTCAAGTCTCCTGGGACCATGGCTATAGATAGCAGCCTGTGTGCAAGCAGGTTCCCCAATGGTCTCTTCTCAATGGAATTTTTACTTTTACACTCCTGAGCCTGACATGTGTGTGATCTTGTCCATTCTTGAGATGCCCTCAAGCCACTTTTCCTATTACCTCTGGATAAAGTATTTAGTATCTCCCTAGTGGCTGTAATGTCTTTAACAACCACAACTTCCCTAGCCCCAGATTTACTCTCACTTTTCTGGATAAACTGCAAGTTTTTCAAGTCTTTCTGTTCTGCTTTCTGCTCTTAATTATCATCATAGTAAACTTATCTAAAAACTGCCAACACTATCCAGGCCACTACCTGACTGCTGTGCTGCCTTGAAATTTCTTCCACCAGATTAAGTAGTCTGTCACCTTTAAATTCAGCCTCACAGAAAGTCTCAGGACATGGGCAAAATGTTGACAATTTTTTTTTTGCCTGAATATGACATGAATGACCCCTAGTCCAATTTCCAATAGAATCTTTCTCTTCTGAAATCTCATGAGCTCAGTCGTTACTGTCCACAGCCCTATCAACACTCTGGTCTTTTGAGTTTACACCAGAATTGTCCATTTTTAAACTCCACTTACAACAATCTAAAACTTTTCCAGCTTGCATCTCTCAACTTTTCAAAATTGCTCTCACAAATTCCAAAAAGCTTCAAAAGCTCTGAACCACATGATCAGGTGAGTCACAGCAACTACCCTACTTCTCCATACCAATTTCCATTTTAATCATTTGTTGCTATTGTTGTTGCTGTGACCAAAAGACTTGCCAAGAACAAACTAGTTTATTTGGGGCTCCTAGTTTTAAAGGTCTCAGTCTGTAAATGGCTGACTCCATTGTTCTGGACTTGAGATGAGGCAGAATATCATGATGGAAGGAAATGACAGAGGAAAGGATCTCAGGACACGGCCCCCAGGAGAGAGCTCATGTGTGAAATTTTACTTTAACTGCATTCAATGGAGAAATGAGAAATTGCAGTTCAATTCAAACAGAACTGTTGATTTTCAAATATTTTTATCCCTAAGTGTTTGTAGGGGATTGATTCAGGACTCCCAAGCATACCTTATTCCCAGATGCTCAGGTCCTGACATAAAATGTGGCAGTATTTGCATATAACCTATACATATCTTCCTGTATACTGTAAATCACCTCCAGATTACTTAGAATATCTAATACAATGTACATGCTGTGTAAATAGTTGTTATACTGTATCATTTAGGGAATAATGACAAGGAAAACAGTGTGTGCATATTTGGTGCAGATTCGTTTTTTTTTCCTGAAAATATTTCATCCACAAAATATTTGATGGGGAAATCAGAGGTATGGATTGTTGAGCACGCTTTCCCAGATTTTCTGAAATTCCTTGTGCTTTTAGACACGAAGATTCAATATGTATTTTTCCCTTCATGATAAGAAGACTAACTTCTCATTTACCTTTGAATGATCTTCTCTCTTACTGAGTTCTTTTCACTAGGCCCAGCAATTAGCCCTGGCTGGCCATGTCCGCCTGTCTCCCCTGCCTGCTAACTTTGCAGAGTGTGTCTTTTTCCCGGGCGTGCACTGTGACTCTGCGGGAGCTGGCCGTTGTTTCCAGCAGTGGCTGTCGGGTTCCTGGTGTTGTGTAGGTGTTTCTTCACGTGGCAGTCTGGCTGATTGGTCCTTACCTGGATTCCTGAGGTCTCAGTCCCTCTTTTCATCTCCTTTGGCTGTTTTAGGTTTCAGGGTTGTGCTCTTGCTTACTTATTCTTACTAAGGAGTCTATAGCCTGGGGGGACTAGGAAGTGTCCTCATCCCCAGGTTGAGTTTTGTCCTAGCTGGGCTCTTTGTCCATCTTCTCAGTTTTGTTGTTTTTACTGTTTTACCGCCTGCTACTCTTGCTCTGTGCTGCAGGCTTGTCCTCTGGGATGCTAGGAAGTGTCCTGGAGGATGTTCCTGGGACAYAGGCACAGGCAGAGGGAGAAGCTGGGTGGTGGCCTAGTCACAGGAAGGCCTGATCTCAAGGGCTCTGCACTGGGATGGCTCTGCAGGGTTGTCTGGAATTGGGGTGAGGCCCCGGCTTTGGATCCCTGCATAGACTGTGAAAGAACCATCAAGGCTTGCCATCGGAGAAAATGCCYRTTTATTGAGGAACAGCTCTGCATATTTATAGGGCCAGGGCCAGGGGTGGTCTGACAGTTGGCATGGGGTGCTTTTTGATTGGTGGGTAAGGATCAGGTGAGCCAGCAGGGCTAGTCTGATTGGTGGGTAGGGATCATGTGAGCCAGCAGGGCTCACCATTGGATGGCTCTTCTTGGATGGGGAAGTTAGTCTTTGGAGCTGGGGTGACTCCCAGCAGACTGGCTGTTGGAACACAGGTCGCTTGGGGGTGGGAGGGGTGGGGTGCTTTTGACAGGAGCTTTCTTCACCATCCAAGGAATGAGTGCTTCTGTCTGGAAGTGGATCCTGGTGGCACTACCGGCTTCTGCTGGAGTTCACTTTACTCTCACGGTGGTTCTGTTCAGCCATTCCTTCCATTTTCTCTGATGGGGTAGATGGGTGCCCTGCTCTTTACTGACCCTGCCTGATTCAGGTGTGTTTTCTCTTTGAACMGATCGAGGACCAAGTGTTTTGGGGAGATCTTAGCTTTCTTAGTGCTCTGAGAGAATGTCTGGGAGCCAGAGAAAGTGGATGGGCCAGTTCAGGTAGTGAGCTGCCCTTTAAGTATGGAGTGAGGTAGGGACCAGGCTCAACCCCMAAATGTCACACGATCTCATTTATTATAAATGAATCCTGACAGCTAGTGGAGTCACACCTACAACTTTGTTCTTTTTCAAGGTGGAAAAAGATTGTCTTTGCTGTTTGCCTGTCTATTCAGTTTCAGGATCAACCTGTCAGTTTCCTGTTGGTGTTATGACTGAGGTTRCATTGATTCTATAGACCAGTTGGTAGGTAACGGACCTCACTATGATGTTGAGTTTCCAACCTGTGGCCTTTACTTAGATCTTTAGTTTTTTTTTTTTTTAAATATCATCTTAATGCTTCTCTCTGTAGAGGTCTTCTTGTAATCAGTGCCCTTTCTAAAGTTATTTTTATTAATTTGAATAATTTATCATCAGACTATTCTAGATTTTCTACATAAACATTAATATCGGCTGTTTTACATACAAGGGTAAAAGAAAGTTTCCAAGTTGAACAATGATCAGTTAATAAATGAAAGAAAAATGAAAAAAGTGAGTAAATCTGGTATTGTTTCCATTGTCTAAGCTTTTTTAGTAATTCTTGTCACTATGTTTTCTATTTTGTCTTCACATTTTTCTGATGCTAAACTGATTTATTATTCTGTGTTTCTTGTAGTTTCCCATCACCAATTGTTCTTGGAATTGGTCAGGTAAGTGAAAAAAATAAATCGGCCTCTTAACAGGTCATTGGTGTACATGATGATATTTTAAGTGCTTTTGCTTAAGATTATAGTTTAACAATTTATATAGCTGGTGTGAGGCCAAAGGATCATGGGATTATTGGTGAGACTACATGAAATATTGACACAAATTTTCTTTTTTTCCYCTACAGCATTGGTTCTTATATATGTGGTCCCTGCATCAGTGTCATGTAGGAAACTTTAAAAGAAAATCCTTTTTTTTTGAACCCAGGGGGACATAACCACTGAGCTACATCCCCAGCCCCCCCTTTTTTTTTTAGAGAGAAAGAGAGAGAGAGAGAGATTTTTTTTTTAATATTTATTTTTTTTTTAGCTTTTGGCAGACACAACATCTTTGTTGGTATGTGGTGCTGAGGATCGAACCTGGGCCGCACACATGCCAGGCGAGCATGCTACCGCTTGAGCCACATCCCCAGCCACCCCAGCCCTTTTTATTTTTATTTTGAAACACGGTCTTGGTAGTTGCTTAAGGCCTCCCCAAGTCGCCTAGGGCCCTGCTAAGTTGCTGAGGCAGGCTTTGCACTTGTGATCCTCCTGTCTCAGCCTCCCAAGCTGCATGCCTGGCAGGAAATTTTTTWAAAATATAAATTATTAATGTCTATTAATTGTACCAACTTGTGGGATTCACTAGAATTTTTTGTATATGCATATATCATGCATTGATCATTTTATTTATTCTACAATTAGGAATAATTGTATTTGTGGGAAAAGCAACTCCTGATTTTAAGTTCATAATTGGATTTGATTACTCTAAAGCAGGGGCTGGAAGACTCTAGGCCTCCAAGATCTGGTGGGTGTCAAATGAGAGTGGTCTGGGGCCCGGGATGGACAGGGCCAATGCTCGTCCAGCCTGTAGTGGGCACGGGATACCAGGTGGAGTCGCTTTTGGGGGTTGGGGGGTAGGGGAGATGTGGTGGGGCCACCATAACCTATTCTCAGACTTTGGGGGGTTTTTTAAGAGAAAGAAGGAATTTGAATTTTTACATCACATCTCCAAACTCACAAATGCTGGCAGTGGGTTCAAATTTTTATTAACTATGGGCCAAACAAAACACATTTACAATTTTCTTCCTCCAGTGTGTGATTTTTCCTCTCAMGTGCCAGCATGGCCTTTGATGAGCTTTCAAACTAGTCTGTTTGGTTCTTTTTAAAATTCCCCATTAACGTGACTTTGTGGCCTGTAACTATTTTGGCCATATTTTCAGTAGAGAAGCAACAACAGGCAACAAAGATTGATTGTTTGTTTTGATTTTGCTTGAATTTAAAGGGGGAAAAATCCTTAAAATTATGGAAATTATATTTGTTAATTAAATTTTTGATTGTGAATCAGGAAAGCCYGTCACTTATATGAATAAACATTATTCCAGTTAAACGTCTTGCTAATTAGTAACTGTGCAGCATAATTTTAGGGATAAAAATTATCATAAGAAAATGATATATTTCCTTACAGCCAAAAACATTTGACTAAAATATAAGTTGTAGAAAAAAAGCACTTTAAAAAAAGATCAGTGAGTATGTAGTAGAGCCTTGGATAATCCCCAAATTAAAAAAAAAATCCAATGTTTTTTAGCCCATTAGTTTATGCTCAAGTATATATGCCGTTCTGATTTGTAGCTTGTTATGGGAAGAGACTATTAGACCTGGGGGAAAAAAAACACATGTGTGGGCCTGAGGGTGCACGCCCGTAATCCCAGCTTTTGGGGAGGATTACAAGTTAGAGGCCAGCTGGGGCAATTTAGCAAGATCCCATCTCAAAATGAAAAATAAGAAGGGCTGGGATGGAGCTCAGCAAGCTCAGGGCCCTGGTTCAACCTCCAGGACCACCACCAAAAAAAAGTCTGAATTGCATATTTAACTATTAATTTCTTCAAGAAATATGAAGTGAAACAAAAATATGAAGTCTAATTATAATTCAGAGTGTGTGTGTGTGAGTTACACAAATCTATGAAAGTATTATTTATAAACTTCTTAGGATCAAGATTTTGGGGCTGGGGTTGTGCCTCCGTGGCAGAGCGCTTGCCTTGCACATGTGAGGCCCTGGGTTCGATCCTTGGGTCCACCTAAAAATAAATAAATAAAATAAAGGTATTGTTTCCATCTACAACAACAAAAAAATTTAAAAAAAACCTTTGAATTACAGTCATGTTGAAGCATTTCTTAAATTTTTGCAACCTAATATAAAGAAAATGGAATAAGTTTTAAAATTTGCATAGAAAAATGATAATAAAAGTTTTATAAATTTTTTTCTTTTATCTCAAAATAACAATATGGAAGGTTTACAATTACATGTGTTCCATATTTACAGGATGTGAATGAGATATTTTTGCTATGCCAACTAGCCTGAGGAGAAAAAGAAACCCAYTAAATTTTTTTTCCTGTTCATTTGTTCTAAGTTTTTCTTCTGTATTATAGAAAAAATAGGATTTTTTTAAAAAGTAGTGTTTAAGTGTGTAACTCTCCTAAAATTTTTTTTTTCCTCTCTCCCCTTAACTGGCCTGTATTGGGGGAAGATGCATGTGCATAGATATGGGAAATGTGGTCCAGGATCAATGTGTGGCCTCCAAAACTGTGGTCAGTGTCAGGGACAACATACCCTTTCTCCATTGTCACTGTTCCTGGGTCTCTGAGAGTGTGTGTGTGTGTGTGTGTGTGTGTGTGAGAGAGAGAGAGAGAGAGAGAGACTCTACTCCATGTGGGACATTTTGCTGTAGTCTGGTGGAATCTGTCTAGTAGCAAGACAAGCAGTTTTAGCATTCTGTGAAATGGTTATTTATTTACTTATTCTTCCTGGAACCTGGAGAGTGAATTTTTTTTGTGTTTTTTTTTTTTTTTTGTATGTTTTCTTCTGATAATGTCATTGTACCTCAAGCAGTCTTTCCAAGAGTTTTGCTAAAGTTTCTCTTCTTTCCTTTAGATGGCAGCCACCATCATGATACTGTATGTTTCCAAGCTCAATAACATAATTAATTTCCCTGATTTTGACAAGAAAATTCCTGTAAAGGTAGGTGATGGAAGCAGTAATGGAAGATGTGAAAATAATTTAGAATTATAAATTGACCTGAGAGAGCAGCCTGGTTCTATGCACCCTGTTTAGACCAGGTGGAAAGGTCTTAATAAAGATATGCACCCTTCAGTTGTCCATTTAGGTAATGCAGTAACGGTTAAAGTATGTGTTTAGCCCCTAACATTAATACTATGTATCTTCTGAAACAACCAAATTCTAAACCAGGAATTGGCAAACTGTTTTGGTTATGGGCTGGATCATTTTTATTGCAACTGCAGGCAGCTCTAGATGATATGCAAATGAGTTGGTGCAGTGGTGTCCCAATAAAACTTTATTTATACATACAAGAGGCTGGACTTGGCCCTTGGTTCTAGTCTACTGTTCCCTGTTCTCAGTTGTAGACCCTGTTGATAGAAACTATGAGTGGAATGGAGAATACAGCTGGATAAATGTTGAAAAAAAAAAAAAGGAGATTTTTTTTTCCATGTGGAATTGGAATCATGAGGTCCACCATTTCTTCTGGGATTATGAAATAAACACACTTTAATTGAACAGTTGCAGAGTGCCAGACATTAGGTGGGCATTTAGTTCCACAGGCAATTAATTCCATATGTCAGGTGACATTAAATGACGATGACAGCATTTGGCTTTGAGGAGATATAATCAGATAGCAGTCCCTTGAGGKTGGATGGCATGTGGTTAGTTTACTCCTGTGTCTCTAAGGTCTGAGACAAGCCGGCGTCCTTGATACCGGGTTAGTCACCAGATAGCACATGGTTATGACAGCGGTGATCAGGGGTTTCTGCAAAAGGAGAAAAATAAAATGTTAAGGCACAGGATATAGATCAGCCTAACCAGCATGAATGAAACTAGAGTGTCGTTGGCTTGCTTGTACTTATTCTATGATGCAGTATAAAGCTTAAAYATTTTCAGAATTAAAAGTTGTTTTCATACATGTACTATACACAGAGAATAAGTCATCATGCTTGAATAGATAATTGAGTGAATAATTACCCTTGAGAATGATTACTTAGCTCATGAAGTGGAACTGCAAATTACCCACTATTCTGAATGTTATAAGTAATAACTGTGTGAGTGTGTGTGTGTGTGTGTGTGTGTGTGAGTGTGTGTGTGTTGTTAGGGAGGGAGCCAGGGCCTTTAGCATGCCACGCAAAAGCTTACCACTGAGACACATCCCCAGGCACATAGTAACTTGCTTTCTTTGTAAAATTTTATACATTCCCTAAATCCTATAGTCTAATTTTACCTGTTTTTGCCCTTTATGTAAAGGGAATCAAACTCTCTATATTTTTTAGTATCTTACTTTTTTTCACTTGATATTGTGATTAGATTTATCCATGCTGTATCTTCTATTTTCATTTACTTATCTTTTCTATTGTTTGTGATAATTTGAGCTATTTCCAGTTTAGGGGCTAGGAAAAACAAAAAGTACTTCTCTGAACATGCTTCGGGTCGAAACTCAGTGAACATGTGTTAGTCAGCTAATGCTACTAAAACGAAATGCCACAGACTGGGTGGCTTAAACAGCAGAAATGTATTTTCTCACCGGGAAATCCAAGAAGAAGATGCTGGCAGGGTTAATTTCTGGTTCAGTCTCACTTTTTAGCTTGCAGAGAGCTRCCTTCTCTCTCGGCCTTATGTGGCCTTTCCTCTGTGTGTGTGTGCCCATGGTTGCTGTCTATTCATTTGTTATTAGGACACCAGTCCTATTGGATAGAAGCCCCCCCATATGACCTTGATCGTCATGGCCCTGTTTCAGTACTGTCACTTTGGAGGGGACGGCAGGTTCTGGTCATAAGGGCACGTATGCACCAGTTTCTCTGTGTGTACATCAAGGAGTGCCATTGCTGGCTCCTCCCGGTGTCTTTAAATWTGGCCGATGGGGTCAGACTGCTTTCCAGAGAGGCACCAGCTCACACCCTGATGTTGCCAGTCTTTGGTTTGCTAATTGTTTTAGATTCTGCTGATCTGGTGGAATTTAATCTGCGTGTCCCTGTTCTCTGAGGAGGCTGAGCACCCTTTCATTGTTCAGTGGCCACTGAGTGTCCTCTTTGGTAAAGGGCTCTGCAAGACTTTTGTCCATTTTCCTCTTGAGCTTGTTTTTTTCTGATTGGTGTATGTGTTTCAAAAAATATCGAGGAGAATTCTCTCAGTTGTGTACGATACTCTAGGATGCATTTTTCCTCTCTGTGCCTTGTATTTTTATTTTGTTAATCATGCATCTTAATGAAGAGGAGTTGTTAATTTTAATGCTGTTCAGTTTTATCAGTCTTTTTGATTAATCATTAATTTTCTTACTTAGGAAATCCTTCCCTACCCTCATCAGAATCACAAGGTTCTTTTTTTAAATTTTTTTTTTTTTTAGATAAGAGGCATGTGGTTTTTCAGAGTTAGGTTTTTAACGCATTTGGGACTGGTTTTTGCATATKGTGTGAGGTGAAGGTCCAGTTCCATCCCCCACCTGTGGATACTCAGTTGTCACAGATTATTGAAGAATGTGCCCTCTCTGTTGTGTCATTTGTATCACAGCACCATTGATCACATGGGAATGGGTCTGTTTCTGGACCGCCTTTGCTCTTTCCGTTGYCTGTGTTTTCTGCACCATCATCACACTTTCTTAATTACTGTAGCTTTTGGAAAGTGTTGATATCCAGGAGARCAAGGCTTCCCGTCCTGTTCTTGGCCCTTTGCATTTCTAGATGATATAGGAAACACACACATCTTTAAAAATATGTTATTTGGCAAGTTAGAGGTACATACTATATAATAACTTTTCTCTACTGTTTTGGAATTGAAAAATGTGGAATATTAATCATGATTTATTGTAGCTTCCTTTGGGTTTTATGTAAACAACAAAAATTACAGTTTTATTTCAACCTTCTAATTTTTATTTCTTTTACTTGCTTTACTATATAGAATTTGTTAATAGGAATGGTAACAATGGGCTTCTTTGATCTCAAAGGGAAAGCTTTTACTAGTTCATCAATAAGTGGGGTTTTTGGTAGATAYTTTCCACTTATTTTGACTTTATAACTTAGTGACTCAAACAATAGTCATTGTATTATCTCTCCTAGTAATTAAAGAGTTTCAKAAAGGCTCAATTGGGCAGTTCTGGWTTAGGGCTCCCATATAGTTGTAGACAGACAGTGGCTAGAACTGAATTAATTAAGGAATTGGTTAGTGCAGCTGGAGGCTGGTCATTCAATCTCTCTTACTGTTATCTCCTAGTTTCACCTTATGGTCACCAGTGTARGCTAGTTGGGCTTCCTTACAAGATGGTGGGCAAGGGGTTAAGAATGTTTATCTGGAGGCCACAGGCTTTAAGGGTGACAGTTCTGGCAAGCAAGACCCCAACTGCATTGCCTTTTATGATCTGTTCTCATAGGTCACATGTCATCTGTATTAGTCATAACAGTTACACCCAAGTTTAAGAAGGGACGTAAGCTCTACCTCTGGATGGAAGGGATTCCAYTGCAACTATAAATCAATTTGAGCAGGATTGACATCTTTAAAGTATGGAATCTGGCTCACATTTTGAGGGGAAGAGAGGGGACATGGGGATAAAAAATATGGTGGGATGATATGGACATCATTACCCTAAGTGCATGTATGAAGACCCAAATGGTATGACTCTACTTCATATACAACCAGAGATAGGAAAAACTGTGCTCTCTCTCTATATATAATATGAATTGTAAGTATTCTGCTGTCATATATAACAAATTAGAATAAAAAAAGAAAGTTCTGTCAAATAGCTTTCAACTATTAAAAATGTAATTATTTTTATATGAGAAAAAAAAAGAAGAGCACATGGGATGGGAGAGACTGTCCTGTCACCTGTGAGAGTGTGGGCTTGACTTTTTTCTTGGCTTTTCTGTCAGGGTTTTTAGAATTGTTTTCATTTTTTTAAAAATTTTGAGTCTATATCACTAGCTGCTTAAAATTTTAAATTGGTCAATCTTCCTGGTGAATAAAAGTGTCTAATAATATGAAGTGGGTAGAACTTTTCTGTTCCTGCTCTTTTAGTGTAGTTACCTTGGAATTTCTAATATATTTTTATCTCCTCTTTTTTAAAAAATAAATATCTATTTATATCTACCCATATATTTACTGCTTCCTTTTCTATTCTTTGTGCATAGTCTCACACTTTGCTTTTTCTTACTGATCGAGTGCTTCCTGTGAATTTACGTTAGTGATGATCTGCTCCKGTGGATTACCATGGTTTTCATTGGTCTGTGTTAAATGGGTTAAGTTTGGCCTGAASCTGCTTCTGTATATATTTTAAGTTTGGCCTAAATATTTCTTTGTATATAGTGACCTATAAACTAACTTGGTGTGTAAGTGGACTGTAACCTCTCTTGTAATAAGGAGTTGAGTCTCAAGCAATTACAAGTGGACAAAGGTTCAGAGCATCCAAATAGGACAGCTGGGAGCTGTAACCAGTTGAGCTGTAACCAACTGGCCCGTCGCTGGGCCTCACTKCCATCTTCCACGTGGGGCCTGCGCCACGGTGGGGCCCGGCATTCTGAACCGTCTTTGATCTAGATGACTTCCCAATTCTAAAATTGAAATAAAGCCAATTAAGAGCTACAAAACTAGATTTGTTGTAATTCTTTTAACATCTGGAGAAGTCTAAATTTCACCTTTGTTTTTTGAAAGGGGAAGAATTCCAGCATGGCTCAACAGTGGAGATAGAATTCTGCCGCCCTCTGGCTGACCTTGTGTCTCTGGGTTCTGTTTTTCCTTTTATCTTTGGCCAAGGGGTTCCTCTCTGTCTTTTCAGCTCTTTTATGAAGATTTTAAATTATTTAATCTAGCATTATAAAAAAARTCGTTCTCAGCCAGGAATTTTAGCATAAATAATCTAACTTACTGTTACCAGAACCTAGAAGTCAGTATTGTTTTTATTTCTAATTATAAATGGAAATGAGATTCACAGGTCCTTTTCGATAGCCAGATCCTCTAGGTTGTGATCCTGCCAGCTTTGTTCTTGTTGAGTAATTTGTAGGCTGTTAGCCAGAATTTTAACTAGTAAAGGGGAACTTTCTAGATCCATGATCCCATCTTCCTTAAATTCTCTKTCTTGGTCAAATCTGCTCATAAAATTTTATAACTATTTTTGGTAGATGGCAGTATTGCAAAACCTTTCAAAGCATATCTTATCTGARTGGCGTGCTTAAGGTCCTATTAGCAGAAAAAGCAATGTTGGCCTCACCTTGATAGCTGTGGACTATTAGATCAGTTAATAAGTGCTGAGTTATCAAAGGATCTTATGAAAGGATACTTTCTTTTCCGGGTTCAAGACTAGGTCTTACATTCTGTTGGTTTCTCCATTATATTTGATATAGTATTTCTCTTGACAGTCGGAAAATAGCTTAGGAGCTCAGTTCGTGGTGAACCCAATTCAAATACAAAGGTTACCCTGTTTGACCTTAGTAGATGTTTAATCACTGTAGACCTTTAAAACAGATAAAGTAACTCCAAAGTAATGTGGCCAGCATGCACCCTGAAAGGGTCACTAACCTGGTGACCTTTCAGTAAGAGACAGGAGGCTATGCCTTGGTCCAGAGTAGTAAATACAGGCACAGATAGAATCGGCACACCTTATCTCTGGCCTTTGTAACCACAAAGTACAGATAGCCATCTTCAACTCACCAGTCCAACCTGGGTCTCCCTGCAAGAGAGTTCCTTGTTCACATCCTTTAGGTAAATATTCTGTTAAAATGGGCAAGGTCAAGAGTTCAGTTTCTTTACCTTGTCTCCCCTGGCCCACCCCGGATAACGATGTCACTGCTCTCCTATCTACTGAGAAACACACAGAGAAACCCCTGACTATATTTTAGATTCTGGAAAACCCACCATTGAGCAGACAAAGGAACCYACATGATTTGCCTGCTGCTCAAAATGAGTGTTACCATTTTTATATGCAGAGGAAGACATACTGTTGGATTTCTAACCAATTTTCTTTCTGTCTCTTTCTAATTTTATTTGAAGCTGTTCCCTTTGCCTCTCCTCTACGTCGGAAACCACCTCAGTGGATTATCAGGCACAAGTAAATTAAGGTACGGAGAGGGAGAGGGGTGGTGGGGTGCTGACTCACCCATCTTCTTCCAGTGGTTGCAAAACTAAGTTTGATTTTGCAGGAAGCCCTGGTTCCCTTGGGCCACATAGAGAAGGCAATGCTACTTAGTAATTTWAGAAAGGAAGCTGTAGTTTTGAGTTGAATTGGCCAATTTTTGGGGAATGTTTTTATTTTAATATTTACTTTTTAGTTTTTTTTTTAGGTGGACACAGTATCTTTATTTTATTTTTATGTGGTGCTGAGGATTGAACCCAGTGCCTCGCGCATGCCAGGTGAGCGCGCTACCACTTGAGCCACATCCCCAGCCCCTTTGGGAATGTTAAAAAGCTTATATTCATATATTTACATTTTCAGTGTAGAACATGAGCTCTGTAGACATCAAGCTAAAGAAGCCCTGATTGATCTGGGTAGATTTGTTTATGTGAATATGGTTGTGTATAACTTTTGGTTTCATATAAAAGCAGGAACGTTTTGTCGGGTTTGGTCGGGGAATAAACAACAGACACATTCAGTTGTGCACCGTCTGCTTCTCACATTCCCACTGCATTGATTTCAGCATCCCTTGATTACTTTTGCTAAAAAATCCAACGTAAAAGCCTCGCACGGTGGCGCACACCTGTAATCCCAGCAGCTCAGGAGGCTGAGGCAGGAGGATGCTGAGTTCAAAGCCAGTCTCAGCAATTTAGCAAGGCCCTAAGCAATTTAGCGAGACTCTGTCTCAAAAAGAAAAAAAAGAAAGGGTTGGGGATGTGGCTCAGTGGTTAAGCGCCCCTGGGTTCAATCCTGGTACCAAAACAAAAACAAAACAAAAAAAGCACTGTAAAGAAGTGAAAATGAGGGTTGGGAGAGACAAAGCCGTCTGATAACCAGAAAGTGTGGTGTGACATGTGTAGTCTCCTTGAACACACACGAAGGGACCCAAGGACGAGAAGAGAAGTCTGCAAAGGTGACAGAAACAGAGGGGCATTTGTGCAGGAGGGTGGAGGAAGGTGGCAGGAGGCCGGAGGAGGCCCCGGTGGTGCTGCCTTCACCCCCAGGTGGAGCAGCCCCTGTGAAGGTCTCTGGGGATTCGAGCTTCCTTCTGGGGACAGAGCAGTCACCTTGCCCTAATTGCCTCACATCTTAGCTTCCTGTGCTCCAGTCTCTGGTTGCTGATGATTTGCAAAAGTCTATCCTTTCCTGTAGGACCCCTCCCTCCCTCCCTCCCTCCCTCCCTTCCTTCCTTCCTTCCTTCCTTCCTTCCTTCCTTCCTTCCTTCCTTCCTTCCTTCCCTCCTTCCCTCCTTCCCTCCCTCCTTCCTTCCTTCCCAGGGATAGAACTCAGAGCCACTCAACCACCAGGCCACACCCGCAGCCCTTTTTTGTATTTTATTTAGAGACAGGGTCTCACTGAGTTACTTAGGCCTCACTAATTTGCTGAGGCTGGTTTTGAATTTATGATCCTCCTGTCTCAGCCTCCCAAGCTGATGGGATTATAGGCATTGCCCACATGCCCTGACCTCTTTTATTTTTTATTTTCAGACAGGGTCTCACTGAATTGCTTAGAGCCTTGCTAAGTTGCTGAGGCTGGCTTTGAACTCGCAATCCTCCTGCCTCAGCCTCCTGAGCTGCAAAAGTCACATTTTAAGGGTAGAGATCAGTTRCATTAAGTATATTCACAGTGTTGTGCAGTTGCAGCTGCGATCTGTTCCCCGAACGTTTTCATCATCCCACGATGAAACTCTGTTGATGAAACTGTAATTCCTTCTTTCCCTCATCCCCTAGCTCCTGGTTATCTCTGTTCTACTTTCTGTCTCTCTGAATTTGCTGTCCTTCGCTGGGATCACACAATATCTGTCCTTTTCTGGTGTGCTTATTCACATAGAGTGACGTTTCCAAGGTTCATCCATGTGGTAGCACATAYTGGAATTTCATTCCTTTTGAAGACTGAATAATCCTCCACTGCATATACATCTGTGTCATTTCAGCATCCATTTGTGAAAGCTTTTGATTTTGATGAGGTCCAATTTATCTWTTTTTTTCTTTTTTCTGTTATCAATTTACTGATGTGTTCTTTTGTTGATCGTGATTTTATTATTGTATTTGAGAAGACTTTGCTTGACCCGAGGTCATAAAGATATGCTATGCTTTCTTCTAAGAGTCTTATAGTTTTAGTTCCTGTATTCAGGCCCTTGATGCATTTTGAGGTAATTTTTAGTGTATGGTGTGAGGTAGGACTCGGATTCCGTTCTTTTGCACGTGGCTGTGTGTTTGTCCCAGCCAACCTTTCAGACCTTGGCGGAAAGCACTGTTCTTTGCTTTTCTGTCGTATTATCTTGGTACAATTTCCACTGTATTGGAAATTGGTTGGCCATAGTTATAGAGAATTGTTTCTTGACCCTTAATTCTGTTTCATTGATAACGTATGTAAACCAGTCGGAAGCAGATTGTGTGGCCTGGAAGGCAGTGCTCATGGCTGGGTCATCACAGCCTTGTGGGGAGTTTTGAAATGGGAAGGTGCCTTGTTCCTGTTCCATCTCCAGGGTCCCTTGAGCTTCCATGTGAATTTTGGAATCTGCTTGTCCGTTTCTCCAAAGGAAAAGGAAAAGGAAGCCAGTTGAGACCTTCTTGGGATCTGTGTTGAGTCTGCATGTGAAAGGGGCATGAAATTCTTTCATCTGTTTGCTTTTATTACTCAGCATGATTTATTAAAGGTCGACAGGAGAATTCAGGTTGATGTATTTAAGTTGACAAATGAATGGGCTTAATGAAAAGTGGAAAACCTGTTTAAAGCAACAAGGAGAGCCGGCCCTGGGAGCCTGACGCCTGCCCGCCCCTCTTCCCCACAGCCTGCCCATGTTCACGGTGCTCAGGAAGTTCACCATTCCGCTCACCCTGCTCCTGGAGACCGTCGTCCTCGGGTGCGTGACTTCTGTCTTTCCCCCGCTCCTCCCCGTGTTCCCTGTCCCCTGCAGTATTTTTACGCGGCAGATTCTAGCCATCCAGCCCTCTTTCCAAGTGGCTGACTTAAATTTTTCATTTTACATTAGACAAATAACACCATGTTCATGGTAGAAAAGTATAAAGGGAAAATCGACCGCCCTCACACAGTTAGAGGTCCGGGGAGGCAGAGGGCATAGAGAGGGAGGGTGGTCCGTGGAGGACAGGGGGGCGGGATATCAGGGAAACCAGTTCTGATGCAGTGATGTGATAGAACATCAGAATAAATTCATTTTTATAACRTTGGTATAAAAGTTTCTCATGAGGATATTCAAGCTGGCATTCAAAAGGGCACTTTTTAATTTTGTTGTGAAGGTTATCTGGATGAAATTTAGTGGATGGTTCAGTGTGTTAAGCCCTAGTATTGAATTTTATCTTGACCTTCCAATGCTCCATCCACGTCCCTGCAAACGGCACCTAGCAGCAGGCTCGCCCTTGTGACCAGAGATACCAGTTTATAATTAAATTAAGAAAACGGTCTAAGAARTAATTTTGGTCTGAATTATAAACACTTTAGACCTTTTTCTACATGAAGCATTGTCAGATTTGGGGGGCAAATCGGCTAATACCTCGTTTCAGTTTGTTTCAAAAACAGAATCCACATTTACCCCGCCCGCTCCTCTCCTGCTTATTCATTTTCCACAGGAAACAGTACTCGTTGGGCATTGTGGCCAGTGTCTTTGCCATCATCCTGGGCGCTTTCATAGCAGCTGGGTAAGACTCTTTCTTTGTGCCTCTGACAATAGGCCCAGCCCCTCCTCAGTTTCTCATTTTCCACCTGGCTGCAGTTGAATCGACCAGCTTGGAGGCAGAGCTGTTGAGGTCAGTGGAATCCCCATGCCGTCCTGTGAGTGTTCCTGTGAGTGTCCCACGGGCTCCCTCAGTGGCCAGAATATTTCTGAGCATGAATCTARCAAGCATCGCCGGACATTAGCATTAGCACAGCCATTTTCTCTTTCACAGAAAAGTAGTAACTACTTAATTTTATTACYAAATGTCTTCAATTGAAAAATTTTACTTGCACTGTGCTTAGGTATCTGATGAAAAATGACAGATTTGGGTTGGGGGCCGTGTAGCTCGGTGGTCGAGCGTGTGCTTAGCCTACATGAGGCCCTGGATTCAATTTCCGGCATCAGAAAATCCCAGAACAGATTTATGAAGCCCTTGAGTGTTGTTTTATCATCCTTAGAGGTATCATGAAGTGTTTTGGGCTGTGGGCCAACACTGTTGGAGTATGACGACCCCAGGGGTAGAATGCTGTCATTTAACCGTGTTGTATGTTTGGGACACAAGCCAGTGGTTACGTTAATTGTTAATATGCAAAAGCAGGAATGAGGARTCTAAATTTGCATTTGCAAGTGTATAGAATACTCAGATTCCTGTCTTTTTTGGAGGGGGGGTGTGGGCACTAGGGATTGAACTCAGGAGCACCTGACCACTGAACCCCCTCCCCAGCCCTATTTTGTATTTTATTTAGAGACAGGGTCTCACTGAGTTGCTTAGCACCTTGCTTTTGCTGAGGCTGGCTTTGAACTCTTGATCCTCCTGCCTCAGCTTCCCGAGAGTCACTGGGATTACAGGTGTGTGCCTGGCTTCCTGTCTTTTAAAGTATGGTGCCTAATGTATGCCTGCAGTTAAATTTCCTGGGTTCTAAGCTGTTTCTCATTTCTCTGGGCATCAGTTTTCTCATGTGCAAAGTAAAGTAAAGCTTTTATCCAGAAGTTCCAAGTGTCACCTCCTCCTCCTACATTTTTTTTTTTCAAAGCAAGTCACATGGCCAGAAAAAAATTGAAGTAGAATCGTCTTCAGATGACTCTACATGACAACAATGAATCTGCTCTGATTATATAGCAAGTAAATCACTCCCACTTCTGTGCACTTAGTACTGGCCTAAATGACTGATGGGTAAGACACCTGAGACCAGGTCACCCTGCCGGGTGTGGGAACATGGCTGTCGGGAACCCCTGGCCYCCCAACATGGGGAGGCTGAGGACTCTGGGAATTTCCTTGAGCCCCTCCAGACCTCTTCTCCCCATGCCTCTAGACTCCTGACTTTTCCTCTTTATCCAGCTGTTAACAGAGACACTTTAGACAAATTTAGCAGAGTGTATTGGAGCAAAGGAACAGTCTGGAAATTCTGTAACTCTCAGAGCCAGCGTAGACTCAGAGAGCTCCGTCCAGCAGTGCACCAGGCAGCCTTATGGACGGACAATGGAAGTGAGGCACAGAGGCAGCTGGACTGAGCCTTCGCCTTATCCGAGCACGGTCTCAAGAGTTGACTGCCTGCACTGACTCAAGCCTGGTGGTGGCCTGAGACTCAGCTGTGTGTTGTCAAAGCTCGGCTTTCAGTCAGTCAGTCTAGGTACTAAGCTAGSTTGTGGTGCATGGTGTGAGGACTCTCCTTGGGAGACGTCCTCAAGCCAAAGTCAGGTGAGTTYCTTTGTGCAGTGCTGGGGATGGACGTGGGGACGCATGCGCACTAAGCAGGTGCTCCACCACTGAGCTGCACCCCAGCCTCCGTTTGTTTTAACATAACTCTGCTGTGTTGTGGAGCGCAGACGCTTCTCCATGATGAGTCAGGCGTGAGTGGGCAAGAGATGTAAAGACCCTTACTTGGAGGAAAATCCCCTTTCTGTGATGGAACTGGAGAATTCTGATGTATGATAATAACCTGAAAGCGATGTGCATTCCCACAAAGATATTTGTAGGTGGTAATACCAGTGGAAGTCTCAAGCAAAAATGTGATTTAATTGGCATGCAGATTTTGATGCAGTTTTGGCCTCTCTATTGTGTTCCCTTTGGTTGGAGATGATCTTATTTCGATGTTGCGGGGGAGTCCRAATACGCCACCACACAATATGCCACCTTGGGATAAAGGTTATTTTGAGCTAAAGGCAACTGGGAATCAGCGGAGGCCTCGGAGTCAGGCATAAATGTCTTTGTGGAGGTGGCCCCTTCTGCCCCGGAGAGAGGAGGAGGGCAGCTCTTCCCACTGAAGAGAGAGCCGGSCAGCCCCGAAATGAATCCACACCTCAAACCCCAGCAACCTTTCTCCTCCGTTATTCCCCTTGCATATTTCCTAGTCACTTCCCACAATTTATTTGTCCCTTGATGTCCAACCCTCTATCCTTTGTTAAAATGTCATGTGAGTCCCCCTGTCAAGCTGTTTCTTTGGGGTTTACTCTTCTGTGAACTCCTGTGCATGTAAAATTCGAATAAGGTTTGTGTTCCTTTTTTTTCCTGTTGATCTGTCTTTTGTCAATTAGTCAGACCCAGCTGGCTGTGGTGGCCACACCTCTAGGAGACTGAGGCAGGAGGATTGCTTGAGGCTAGGAGTGGGAGGCTAGCTGGGCAACTTAGTGAAATCCTGTCAATYCATTCATCCATCTGTCCATAATATGTTAATTCCCACATTCCTACATTCATTCATTCACAGGCCCCCAGGTACTGAACCTAACAGGATAGAGGGAAAGTTTATCTTCCCTGGAAGTTGATAGTTGTGAATTCTGACAAGGGTCTGGTATTGTCTATAAGGATGAAGTGCAAGTGTGTGAATCCCATCATATATCAATTACTGTTCTCTAACACCTATGTCATATCCCCCAAACATTTTTATATTGGCATTATTTTTTTTAAAAGATTGTTTCAAAAACCACAGGAATAGGATGGCTTGGGAAGAGTTTTGTAGACCCTGGGGGTGTYTGCCTTGCCCTTTAGATGGACAGGGCACTGTTTGGCAGCAGATGGAGGTATCCTGTCCTCATAGTGCCCTCTTACCCAGTCCCTCCCCTGCTGTCCCACAAGGGCTGCACCCTGGGGATGGCCCTGTTCACAGCAATAAGCAAAGCCATTGGTGGGTCTCCCCTTAGGAGAGTCAGGGTTCCCTGTTATCACGCTGACTTCCAGAGAGCAAGACAGGGCTTGCAGGGGGATGGGTACAGTCCCTGGGTCCTAAGCTCTGTGTAATTAAGTTGAAGCCACCCGATTGGCTGGTTTTCTTTTTGTCTGGAGGCAAAATTAACCTTTCTCCAGCAGAGAAGGGAAAATATGCCGTATAAGCATTGCTAGGTTGTTACTGGGGTTGGATGTGGGTTTGATTAGGAAAAGCAGGCAGGCTTTGAGGCCAAGGGAGGAGGAGTTCCTGAATAACCCCCCTGTCTTTTGTTCTCCTACCAGGTCTGACCTTGCTTTTAACCTGGAAGGCTACGCCATTGTGTTCCTAAATGATATCTTCACGGCAGCAAATGGAGTCTATACCAAGCAGAAAATGGACCCAAAGGTACCGGGTCTTCCCTCCCGTGGCTTTAGGCTTTACCATCTGCCCCCAAGAAGATGCGAAAAATGGAAAAATGGATTTCTACAGTTGGCACATAGTTTATGTAATACGATTGATCAATCACTCATTTCATCCTAATTATCTTATCTGTGTATGTTCTTGTTACTCTTAGTCTTGGAAAATTTGGGGTGAAAATTAGATAGGAGGGGAGAAGTTGTCACAGTCCCAATGTACAGACAACAGCAGAGCACATCATGGCTCCGTCAGCTCGGTCACCAGTGACCACGGCAAAGTCCGGGGCGGGACACTTGTTTGGAGAGTGTGGAGTCTGCGGGTGGGACAGACCCCGCTCTCCCTGGCCATGGTGACTTTGAACCTCAGCTTCTCCAACCTCAGCTTCCTCACCCATGACACGAGTAGCCTGGACAGGATCCCTGGTGGTCCTCCAGCAGGACCTGCCTCCTCTGATCCCCAGGGGCCGGCCCGGAGCTCTCTGGCCTGGGTCTGCCGCAGTGGGGGCCCCAGCTGTTCCAGGAAGCTGTGGAGGATGAGCCGGCCATATGGCTCTTTGTTCCTGGTTCTTTGTGTAGAAGGAGGGAGTTCTCCCTGACAGGCCTTTTTTTTTTTTTTTTTAATCTGTATGGCCATTTGTTTCTTTTATTGGTGGSGGTTTTACAAAAACATGTTTGTTGCCTTTTGAAAAACCACAATAGGTCAGCCTTGTTGGTGGAGAGGTGGTGTGGCCTCTCCTGTGGAAGTGAATACACCAGGGCTCTTCTTCAGTGCAGACGGCAGATGTTTTAAAGGAGCTGTTTATGTTAACAGTTTTCATCTCCTTTACTGTGTTCCAGATTTCTTTAAAACAAAAAGAAAAGCTCACAGAGTCAGAATGTCCAAGGGGGTGGAAACTTGGCCTCCTTTTCATTTCATCCATTTTGTCTGTAGTTTTTGGTGTAAAATAAATATTTATTCTGAAACCAAAATACAATTGAAATGAAGCATTTTCTGTTGGGAATTTGTTATAAAATATTCCAGTAGAGAGTCGGTGAGAATACATGTTCTAACGTTGTGTAGATTCGTAGTTGAATGAATAGCTCCAGGAAATTTAATGCTTGTATTCTGAAATTCAGTGGGGTTTTCTTTGTTTTTGTAGGAACTAGGGAAATATGGGGTGCTTTTCTATAATGCCTGCTTCATGATCATTCCAACTCTTATTATTAGTGTCTCCACCGGAGACCTTCAGCAGGTAAGTGGATAAAATGGTCAATACAACTTTCCTTAGCCATCTTTTAAAATTTCAATATTTAACATTTGGTACTCACTGAAATAAAATGCATACATGTATATCTTATATATAGTATATAGGATCACACACACACACACACACACACACACACACACACCTCAGATCCCTATGTATATAGAATTACCAGGAAGGTACATAAAATGTTATGTCTGGGAGCTGGGCATGGTGTCATGTACCCTGGTCCCAGATACTCTGGAGGCTGAGGTGGGAAGAATAGTTCAAGACCAGCCTGGGCAACAGAATGAGACTCCATTTCAAAAAGAAAATCAAAAGCTATTTGAGGGCTGTGGTTGTAGCTCAGTGGTAGGCACTGKGTCCATCCTCAGCACCACATTAAAAAAGAAAAAGGTGTTTGATGTGCCTGATATTTAACACCCTTAGACACATGGAGGTCACCAGTGACCACGGCAAAGTCCGGGGCGGGACACTTGTTGACAAGAACTCAGGACTTGCAAATTTTTGGAAAACAACAATCAAAATCTGAGTCTGAGTCCCACTGTCCTTCTTTGTTGATGTGGGGACCCTGGGAAAATTACTTCCTTGGGAAAGAAATTTTGATAGTTTAAAAATGGRTTTCTTTGTTATTTTTATTATAGACATTTTGAAACATTTGCAAAGTAGGGAGAATAATTCCATGAACTGTCSTCTCTCGGTCCCTAGCTTCTTGGCATTTCGCTGTGCTGTTTTTATCTGTTCCCATCCAGCCTCACCTCTTCCCGCTTCTGCAGTATTTTAAAAGAGACCCCAGACATCGTACCATTTGTACATCTAAACATTCCAGGGTCTACCTTTGACTGTTGGAAAGGTATTGTTCTTTCTGAATTTGCCCTGCTTAACTTAGCCARTGCTTATTCATGAAAGACAGATAAGATGGTCAATTAGGCCCAATATCTCTGTCTACTCYCAAATGTAAAGCTTCCCGAGTGCCAACTGCAACACCACGAATGGAAAATTCCACACCTGAATYGTTTGTGGTGGGTCACAGTAAAAATGTAGGCACACTAAAAATAATGAATAAAATTACCTTCAGGCTACATGTGATCACGGTATATAAAACACATGTGAGTTTCATGTTCAGACCTGGGTTCCATTCCCAAGATGTCTTATTATTTTTTTCACCCATTACATATTTAAAATAAAAAAAGAAATCTGAAGCACTTCTGGTCCCAAGCATTGCAGATGAGGGATACTCAGCCAGCCTTAAGGTGTCAGGCCCAGTGGGAGGGAGAGGAGGACAGGTCTGCCAGGGAATGACCACTCCCCATGTTAAGGTTCATCATGACGGCTTCCAGGGATACACGCCCCGACTCCTCTAAGTTGAAAGCCCCACAGCTTCTATGATTTTTTTTTTTTTTTTGGTACTAGGGAATGAACCCAGGGTTGTTTAACCACTGAGCCACATCCCAGCCTTTTTATAGTTTATTTGGAAACAGGGTCTTGTTGAGTTGCTCAGGACCTCGCCRAGTTGCTGAGGCTGGCTCTGAACCTGTGATCCTCGTGCCTCAGCCTCCCAGGCCTGCTGCTGGGATGACAGGYGTGCACCACCGTGCTTGGGCAGCTTCTATGAATTTTGCCTGTATTGAGAGGTGATGTTTAAGTTCATGTAGGAAATGGGGGGTGAGGGGAAAATCCCATCAGGTTGCCTCTGCTCACTGTCCCCCTTCTGGCCAGGTGTTAACCCTCCCTTTGCTGGACTGGGTGGCTGGTTCAGGGGGCTTCTGAGAGGACAGTTCTTCTATTGTAACAATGAGCACAGTCATTGAAGTTGATCGTATTTGCAGCCCTTTCAGGCTCTGAAGGATTTGGGGCTGCAGGACTTCTGGGGTAGAAGGCCGGGCTCATTGCTCTTCCTTCAGCTACACAGTTCTTCCCCCAGAAGCTGGAAGCCACAGAAGGGCCCAGTAGCCAAATCCCCAGGGGTGAACAGCCRTGTCCATGTATTTATATCAAAACCTGCCAACAGGCATCCGTTTTGATAAAGAGCTCTCTGTCTCAGGTTAGCAGGGACACTGTGTGAACCCGGGACTCACGGTGAGTTCAGTGTTGGAAGACGGAGCGAGCTCCTCCCCCTAGCACCTCTCCAGCAGACGCAATGTCTGAAAACACAATATTTATTTTTTACCYGTCATTAGTCCATTTTAAACCAAGTTGGTGTCAGCGACCTTACACAAAATTATGAGTCTCAACAAAGTGGCCCTAGTGGTGTGTCTATTTCATTATTATAGAATAGAAATGAGTTGTTCTGTTGAATCACTGGAAKTTATCTGTTCTGGAATTCTGGTGTCTTGTAGCTGTTTCAGAGATATATTTAATTCTAGGAATGAAAATGTACACACTTGAGTTGGGGATATGGCTCAGTGGTAAAAGGCTTGCCTGGGTTTGATCCTTGCATGGGRAAAAAAAAGTTTAGAAATTCTTACACACTCCTAGAATGCCTACTCGGGACTAAGAGCATATTTTCCTGTAGGAGCACTATGATGAGTGACAAAAGAAATATTAGGAACTTATGGGTAAAACGGCCTGGGAATACAGCTTATAATACCACTTCTGTAGGAACGTGTATTCCCACATCCAAATCATTGACTTCTAAACTTGTAGCCTGGGGTTTTCGGAAGCTGCCACAGGCTTGCAATGATTATGCGCCATTCTCCTATTTTCTCGTGTGATAGTTAATATTTATTGAGGAACTGTTATATATCTGTGTGTTTCAAAGCATCGTTCGTGAACTATCTCATGACATTCCTAGAACCATCCTGGGGAGAGGAAGTACTGCTGTGAATCCCATTTTATAGCAAGGAATTTAGGGCTTAGTGTTTAAGAAACTTCCAAGAACCGCAGGCGATGGATAGATCCAGGCCCTCTGGCCCTAGAAACACAGTCTTTGCTGTATGTAACGGCAGTTATTTTGTTTGGATAGAGAAACTGTTCATGTTTCTTTCCTTCCCATGTAAAAACTATAATAACCCTTRTATCTTATAGAGTGCAAGAGGCCTAACATATTCAAATAGTCTTTGTCTTTTATTTGTCATTAAATTCGAGTCATTAATTGATTTTGAGATGAGGTCTTGCTGTGTTGCCCAGACTGGTCTCARACTCCTGGACTCAAATGACCCTCCTGCTTCAGCCTCCCCAGAAGCTGGGACTTCGGGTGTGGGCCTCCGCAGCTGGCTAGTCCCCGTCTAAACGTGGTTTGATTTTTGTACTTGGCAGTAATGTAAAATGAGGCTCATTCAGGAGGAGCCATACTTCATTTTGTGTTTTGTTCTTCTGTGCGAGCGCTGGTGTGGTATGAACCTCTGTCCAGATGCCACGGCTGCCAGGCAGCCACACACGTGATCACACACACAGATCAGGGTTTGCTCAGCTGATACCGCCCAACTGTGGGCTCCGGGTGAGTGCAGGTAGGCCAGGCTCAGCTCTGACTTTCAGTAGRTCAGTGTATCAGTGCATTTTTGCCTTATGACATATTCAACTGATGGTGGTGGGTTGGAAAGTGACCCTATGGGTGAGTCAAGGAGCATCTGAAATTTGTTAAATCCTGACATTCAGGAAGAATATCCTCCTTCTCTTCTCCGTGTGTTGGAGAACCCCAGTGTTGACCCCATCTTTCCTCTTCCCTTTGACAGACTCTGAAGATTTCAAACAGAACTTCCCTTCCCCACCTTAGTGCTTAGTTTTTACTAAAATTCCAAATGGATCAAAGAGTTCGATTTATAAGCTTACTATTAATAAAAATTATAAGAGAAATGGAAGACATTTATAACCAGAAGAGAAGCTCAGTGGTAGAGTGCTTGCSCCTATCCTTAGAACTACATAAAAATAAACAATAAAAATAAAGGCATTGTGTTCATCTACAACTACAAGCGAGGGGGGGGGTTCTCTAAAATGACAAATATTTTTAAACTTTTAATTCATGTACAAAGTTCAAGTAAAAAATGTGACTATATTTTAATTTTAAAATATCTGATAAGATATTTTATTTAATTTTAAAATATCTGATAAGAGATGCTGGAAGATGCAGGATATGTACCATAATCAGGATGCAAAAACATGAGCAACTTTGTAGAAGAGCATGGTGAGTGCTCTTTGTTTGTTGAATCAGGTAAAGCTTGGGAATTTGTGAGCATCTGGGAGCCTACAATAGAAAGCTCCTCCTTCTCGGCCACATCTGGGTTAACTGTACTGAGACTGAAGGATGGGCTAGAACAAAGGTTCACTCTTCTTTTTAATGATAGGAAAAATTGGTTGAGTCCTTTTTCCTGGTGGCCTGGGAGCAGGAAAGAGGGAGAGGGAGAGGTAGTGGCAAACTTGCTGGTGACTCACCACCCTGGCAATTCAGTCGGGACTCTGGATTCACATCCTTGGCAGGTCTTTTAACAGCACCTTGGTTTTACCTCTGAASAGTGAGGTCSGAGATGACAGCTCCTCTTGTTGACRTATCAGGCCCTTGGAAAATACTCAGTGGGTGAACTTTGCTTAGCCATGAATCCCTGCAGTAGGTCCCAAGTACATCTAGTGTATTGTAGTTGATGAATGAGGGTGACAATATAAAAAAACCCCAAGTGCACCATGAAGAAGATGGTTCCTCCTGAATGAGCCTCACTTTCACATCATTGCAAAGTACCAAAATCAAACCACGTTAAGACAGGGACGAGCCGGGTACGGAGGCCCACACTTGAAGTCCCAGCTTCTCGGGAGGCTGAAGCAGGAGGGTCATTTGAGCCCAGGAGTCTGAGACCAGTCTGGGTAACACAGCAAGACCTCATCTCAAAATTAATGACTCGAATTTAATGAAAAATAAAAGACAAAGACTATTTGAATATGTTAGGCCTCTTGCACTCTATAAGATATAAGGGTTATTATAGTTTTTACATGKGAAGGAAATACTCCAACATACTTGGACTGCAACAGTAAGTCTAAAGGAAGAACTACTTTATTATTACTCACCTTTAATTATTTCCTGTTTTATTATGCTAGATTATTTCTCAAAATGCCACTAGTACAGCATTATTATGATGATGATGTTATTTTTGTGTACTGGGCATTGAACCCAGGGCTTCATGGGTGCTAGACACATGTTGTACCATGGACCTACTTTCCCAGTCCTTTATTTACTTACTTTTGTGATGCCGGAGATCAAACCCAGGGCCTCAGCCGGGCCTGGTGGTGCACACCTTTAGTCCTAGCAGCTCGGGAGGATTGCAAGTTCAAAGCTAGCCTCAGCAACTTAGGTACTAAAACAATTTAGTGAGACCCTGTCTCAAAATAAAATTCAAAAAGTKCTGGGGTGTTGTTCAGTGGTTAAGGCTCATGGGTTTAATCCCTGTTACCAAAACAAAAACAACAACCCAAAACCCCCAGGGCCTCATGCATGCTAGGCAAGCACCCTACCAGTGAGCCGCATCCCCAGCCCCTTATTTTTATTTTCTTTTGAGACAGGATCTTGTTAAGTTGCCCAGGCTGGCCTTGAATTTATTATCCTCCTGCCTTAGCCTCCCAAGTAGCTGGGATTAAAGGCATGTGCCTCCTTGCCCAGTTATAACTAAAGAAGCAATACTGGGGCTGGGGCTGGGGCTCAGTGGTGGAGCACTTGCTTAGCAAGTATGAGGCATTGGGTTTGATTCTCAGCATCACATATAAATAAGTAAATAAAGGTCCATCAGCAACTAATAAAAAATATATTTTTTTAAAAAAGAAACAAAGCTAAAATTTGTAAAAACTAAATTGGGTGAAGAGTAAATGTACCCAGCGCTTCACCCATGCTAAGCACGAACTTTACCACTGAGCTACACCCAGGCTCCCAAAGTATGCATTAAAAAGTTTTGTTTTTTAATGATGGAAATTTGAAGCACATATAGACACATAGAGAATAATAAACAAACCCCATGTGCCCATCCCCTGTTTCAACAATTATCAACGTTTAATGTCTATCTTTTCTTTTTGTTTTTATTAAAACATCTTTATGGTGCATTATAATTGAACATGATCGAGATTCCTTGTTACGTATTCCTACAGGCACACAGTACAACAATGTAACTTGGCTAATTCTCTCCCCAGTATTTTCTCTCTCCTTTGTTCCCTCCTTCCTCTAGTTCCTTTCCTCCATTCTACTGGTCTCTCTTCTTCTTYTTTTTTTTTTTTATGAGATACCTCCTTTTCTACCCTTTTTCTACCTAGCTTCCACATAGGACCCTTGACTTTCTGAGTTTTTGTGTATCTTTTTGTTAGGAGACGGGGCAGAGTATTACTAATGAGTCAGTGTCAGCAAAGTGTGCAAGGCTGTATGAATTGGAGGAGAGAATTCCCTTTTAATTGTTTAAAAATTTGAATAACAATTTGAAAACATATTTAAATAGTTTTAAATGATTCAGTTGCTAAAACTTGGCTAGCAAAGTATTGCTTAGTAGAAAGAGAATAGAACTTTGATCTAAGCATGTTATTGAGCACGTTGCTTCAGTGGTCTTGAGTCGCCTTAAAATCAGTTTTGAGCCGGATGCAGTGGTGCATCTCAGTATCGTGGGAGGCTGATGCAGGAGGATCACATGTTCAAAGCCAGCCCCAGCAAATTTGGGAAGTCCTGAGCAACTTAGCAAGACCCTGCCTCAAAATAAAAATGAAAGGGGCTGAGAATGTGGCTCAGTGGTTAAGTGCTCCTGGGTTCAATACCTGCTACCAAAAAAAAAGGAGGAGGAGGAGGAAGGGGAGGGGGAGGGGAAGGAGAGAGAGGGGGAGGGGAGAAGGAGGGGGAGAGGGGGGAAGGAGAGGGGGATGGGGCGGAAAYAAATCAGTTTTGGATGCAGGCAAGAGAAAAATCATAATACTCCTTTTTATTGTTACCTGTCATTTCTACATGGTTTRTTTAAACTTGTCTATCATATTCTTCACCTTCCATTATTTGATTGCTATGTAAATAGCAAATACTAGCTCATTTGTCCATGATGTAAATTCTTGAAAACAGTCTGTGAACTTGAACTTTCCTTGCCAATGTTACTGATTTTTTTGAGCTTGTCACCTTCGAAGTTCAACTTCACTTCATCTTCACATCAGCCTGTGCAGTAAGGTTCCCCGCCCCCCCCCTTTCCCATTTTGTACAATGAACTTGAGATTTGGGGAGGGAAGTAAATTTGTCCATTGTCACATAACTTGTGTGACCTAGGACTTTTAAAATTGGATTTTGWTTTTGGAAAGATGGTTTTTGTACCCAGACTCACAGATTTGAACTGCAATGTCATTAATCTAATCACTCGTTTCTTTTTAATAATAGGCTACTGAGTTCAACCAGTGGAAGAATGTCCTGTTTGTCCTGCAGTTTCTTCTTTCCTGTTTTTTGGGGTAAGAAACCATAGATAAGAAGAAGTATTGGTCAGTGGTCTCTTGACAAGTCCAATATCGTCTCTCCTGATCTGTCCAAGTCCCTTTGTCCAGGTTTATCTAYGTTTCTCCACAAAGTCCATTCTGCTCCCCATTTCCACAGGCTTTGCATTTGCAGATTCAATGAAAAGTGCATAGAAAATACTCGAAAAGAATTAAGTCTATACTGAGCCTGACCAACTTTTAATTTTTGTCATTATTTTCTAGGCAATTCAGTTTAATACGTATTCACATTGAGTTTGCATTGTCTTAGGCATTATTAGTGGCCTAGAGATATTTTAAAGTACAGAAGGATGGGCACAGGTTTTATAACAGCGTTGCACCATTTTCCGTAAGGGACTTAGCATCTGTGGATATGGGTGTCCACGGGAGTCCTGGAACCAATGCCCTGTGGATATAAGGGATCCTACAGAAAAGGGGTTGACCTTGATCCAGGACACTGAGAGCTCAGCCAAGAGGTTAGAAGCAAGCACAAAACTGTTTTGACTTTGAAAGTGATGCTAATATCACATTCTACTCCAGAACATGACATTGCCTATTGATTTTTGAAAGTTCATCTGAAAAGAAAAGTCAGCTGACATCTAGAGTTCAGTGCCAGGTTTTTGTCTTTGTCACCATGACCTCAGTTGCCCAAGATTCATTCCTCACATAAATATATAGCAATGACAACCTTTTCCCCTAGTGCTGTACTTGCAGTATTCAGGGAAGTTTCTGAGGAGAGATGTCCAGGCTGCACAGTCGTTCAATAATTAAGGTTTTGTTATTGAAATATCTTTATCTGTTGAGAGCTCTTGTGCCCTTTTTGATCTTCTAAAAACTTGGAAAATTCCTTTGCATGAGTAGTAAAATAAATTATTAGTAAATAATTCAAATAGTGCAAAAKAATAAACAGGAAACATCAGCTGTACCCCTTCTTTCCCTCTCTAGCAYTGCAGTTTTCCTCTTGAGAGAAGTAAGCCAGGCTCCACTAGTACGCAGGAATCCAAGTCTTAACCCATATTGAAAGGGTCTTTCAATTACTGTCTCAGGGATTACTCATCAAAAGATTTTTTCCTATGGGAAAAAGATGAATATACTCCTTTTCGTTATGTGTAAATGGACTAAGACAATTCATGATTTCTTTGGTCAGCATTTTAATTCTCAAACTTGACTGTAATTACCTCTAGTATAGTTGTATGAGAAGCGTTCATGTGTATCTTCCAATCATTAATTCTCTCTTTAACTGTGTCTAATTTAATGTTTATCCTGTTATTGAAATTTTTAAGTATCTTATATTCTATTTATACAAGTGCCACAGATTTTTTTCTAACTTATCTATTCATTCCTAACATTCTTTCACTAGTCTTTGTGATTATACCTTTTATTTCTTGAGTGTTACACACATAGTTATTTTATATTCTGTGTTTGATGATTCCAATATCTGGAGTTCTGGGTTGGGTCTTCTCCTCCCCGTTTTTTAATTAGTGCATTATAGTTGTACATACTGATGGGATTTGTTCTTACTTATCTGTTCATGTACACACAACACAATATTACAATATAACAATATAATTTGGCCARTATCACCTCCCAGCATTTCCCCTCCCTCACCGCCTCCTGCCCCTTACTCTTTCCTCTTTGATTTTCATGAGGCCTACTCCCCATCTATCTTTTTTTTCCTCTCTAGCTTCTGCATATGAGAGAAAACATGACCCTTAACCTTCTGAGTTTGACTTATAATGGTCTCTAGTCCTACCCATGTTCCTGCAAATGACATACTTTTGTCTTTCTTTATGGCTGAATAAAACTCCATTGTGCATACCACGCATCCACTGATGGGCACCTAAGTTGGATCCATGGTTTGGCTATTGTGAATTGTGCTGCTTTGAACATGGTCATGCATGTCTCGCTATAGTATGCTGACTTTAATTCTTCAGGATAAATACTGAGGAGTGGTCTAGCTGGCTCATATGGTAGATCCATGCCTAGACTTTTGAGTAACCTCCATACCAATTTCCATAGTGGTTGTACTAATTTATAGTATCACCAACTTCTTTATATACTCTCCAATATTTCTTATTATTTATAGTTTTGATGACTGCTATTTTGACTGGTATGAGATGAAATCTCAGTGCAGTTTTTAGATTTGTATCTCCCTAATTGCTAATGATGTTGAACACTTTTTCATATATTTGTTGGCCATTTRTATTTCCTATTTTGATAGGTGACTATTAAATTTGCCCATTTATTTGATTTTTTGGTGTAAATTTTCTTTATATATTCTAGATATTAATCTTCTGTCAGAAGAGTAGCTAGCAAAGAATTTCTCCCATTCTGTAGATTCTCTCTTCACATTTTAAATTGTTTTCTTTGCTGTACAGAAGCTTTTTAATTTGATGCCATCCCATTTATTAACTTGGCATTATTTCCTGAGTWTTAGGGGTCCTATTGAGAAATTTGTTGCCTGTGCCTATATGTTGGAATGTTGATCCTATATTTTATTCTAGGAGTTGCAGAGTTTCTGATCTAATTTCTAGGTCTTTGATTCATTTTGAGCTGACTTTTCTGTAGGGTGAGAAATAATGGTCTAGTTTCATTCATCTCCATGGGGATAACCAGTTTTCCCAGTGCCATTTGTTGGAAAAGCTGTCTGTTCTCCAGTGTATGTTTTTGCCATCTTTGTCAAGGATCAGATGAATGAAGGTGTCTGGATTTATCTCTTAGYTTCTATTCTGCACCATTATTCTCTGTCTGTTTTTAGGCCAGTACCATGTAGTTTTTGTTACCGTAGCTCTGTAGTATAATTTCAAGTCAGGGATTGTGATGCCTCCAGCATTGCTTTTTTGGTTTAGAATGGCTTTGGCCATTTTGAGTCTTTTATTCTTCCAAATGAGATTTAGGACTATTTTTTTCCTAGTTCTGTGAAGACTGTCTTAGGTATTTTGATGGGGAATTGTATTGAATTTGCATATTGCCTGTGGTGATACGGCCATGTTAATAATATTAATTCTGCCTATCCACAAACATGGGAGGGCTTTCCATCTTCTTGTGTCTTCTTCAATTTATTTTTTCTGTGTTTTATAGTTTTCATTGTAGAGGTCTTTCACCTCCTTGGTTAGATTTACTCCTAGGTTTTTTGTTTGTTTGTTTGTTTGGTTGTTGTTTTTTTTTTTTTTTTGAGACTATTATAAATGGAATTGTTTTCCTGGTTTCTTTCTTTCTCAGCAGATTCATTGCTGGTGTTTAGGAAAGCTATTGATTTTTGTATGTTGATTTTGTAACCTGCTACTTTGCCAAAATTGTTTGTTATTTCTAGCAGTCTTTTGGTGTAGTTCTTTGGGTCTTCTAGGTATATTTTCCTTTTTTCATATCTTTTATTCCCTTGTCTTGCCTGACTGCTGGGGCTAGAATTTCTAGCACTATGTTAAATAGGAGTGGTAACGGGGACATCCTTGTCTTGACCTGATTTTAGAGGAAATGCTATCAGTGTTCTCCCATTTACTAGGAGGTCTGCTGTGGGTTTTCTGTATGTCGTCTTTATGATGTTATGTAGGGTCCTTTTATCCCTAGTTTCTTCAGTGTTTTTATTATGAATGGGTTTCAAATTTTGTCAAAGGCCTTTTTTGCAATCTATTGAGATTACTAAGTGATCCTTGTCCTGAATTCTGTTAATGTGAAGAGTTATATTTATTGATCTGTGTATGTTAAACCACCCTTGCATCTATGGAATAAAACTAACTGAGCCGTGGCATATACTTTTAATATGTTGTTGAACTCAATTTGCTAACATATTATTAAGAATTTTTGCATCCAAGTACCTCAGGGATATTGGTCTCTAGTTTTTCTTTCCTTGATGTGACTTTGTCTGGTTTTGTGTGAGTGTGATACTGGCTTCACAGAATAAATTTCCAATACCTTCAGTTCTTAGGAAACTCAGTATGAGTTTTCGTCTTAGGTAACTGTCATTGTTGTTTGCTTTCCTGTGTTTGGTGACCTGCAATTGTGAGCATATTGCTTTATCTTAATCAGTCCTGTGTCCTGAAATTGGGAACTTTAGAAACTTTCCTACAGGGACAAGCTGATTTGGCTTCTTCTGGTAGCCAGGGGTTGCCTTGGACTTGCCTGAGTCYACCATGTTTGAGGGCCTGGCTCTGTGGCCCTCCCCACCTGGCTTTGGACCTGGTGTCAGGTCCCAGATGGAGCTGTTCCACCATGGTCCCCACCGTAAGGTTGCCATCTTGTTCCTACCGTCTGCTTTACAATGAGGTGACTCTTTCAAGACCGACAATATCTTAATGAATGTGTCCTTTCCAGACATTGCCTTTCTGTAGTGGGAAGGTCCTTAGGTACTTAGCCATTGCTGGAGGCATCAGTTGAATTAAATATCTGTAGATGTCTCTTGTTGATGGAGAACATTTAACCTAGAGAGGAAAACAAAAAAGCCACATTTGTGAGCCACCCTTTGTCAAGCCATCTCCCTCTCTGTGTTTTTCCTCTTTGAAAATAAAACAAAACAAACAGACAAACCAAAACACCCGAGTCATACACATCAACTCAGCCCAGCTTCTTTCCCTGCGAGGATTCAGTCTTTCTCATTTCATCATAAACGTGATAAGAATCCGCTTTTGTTGTCTGCCTGGCCCTTTACCACCCAATCACAGCATGTTAATCAGCTTTTCGTGGCTGGGACCAAAATACCCAACAAGGACAACTTAGAGGAGGAGAAATGTACTTGGGTCTCAGAGGTTCAGTCCATGGGGGCGCATTGCTCAGGACCCAGGGTGAAGCAGAACATCATGGCGGAAGGTGGTGGAGGAGGACCTCTGCTCGTTTCATGGCAGCGAGGAAGCCGGGTGGGGGGAAGCTGACCCCTCCAGGCCATGCCCCTGTGACCCACCTCCTCCAGCCACACCTCAGCTGCCTACAGTGACCACTCAGTCCAGTCAGACTGGGGGCTGATGAGGTCCCAGTTCTCACGATCC